ATACTCTTGCCAAGGTCATTCACACAGACAACCAGTCACACAACCACTCATTCACAAAAAGCCAAGGAAACCAATGGAGTGACCACACTGCCTGGTTTTAGTATAATAAGAAAAAAGCATTGAAAAAAGGAAGTAACAAAAGATTTTGTGACTAACCCTCACCCCAACCCTAACCTTTGCCCTAGCGCTATGGGAAGAAGAAGGAATATTATCTGGGCCTCAGAAGTAAAAGACAGTACAGGTCTGCCACAGTGACACCTAGCGTTGAACAGGACTCTATGGTGCCTGCAGGATGAACCTGCGGACACCCGGACAGCCACGAGACGCATCTGCAACTTCTCCTAAGACTCCCAGTAATATAGGGGAGTAATATGGGGAGTAATATAGGAAAGTGAACTTAGAACTTTACTTTGCAGCTCAGCACTGGAACTACCCAAGACAAAAGCCTCTATCCCTAGGGAGTGCTGCCAAACAACATGCCCAATTAGTTAAAGGCATTTCAAATCCCCAAACCTGCATCTGACCGCCCAGTGTACAAAAAGTCAATCACTGACAACAGGGTGGTGGAAAAAAAGTAAGTTTGTATTGCAAAGCACAATGGGCAACCACTCTTAATTCTTAGAATCCTTGAGGAGTTAGGGCTGAAGATTGCTAGCTGAAGGGTATGTGATCAGTTCCTGTTTAAGTTCCTGGTTGATCAGTTCCTGCTTGGAGTCTTCCTTTGATATGGTCAGTAGTCCTGTGTTCTTCAGGGAGTCTGTGAGAGCAAAGTAAGCTCTACTTGGTTTGGGTGGTTACATGTAAATGGTAGTTACCTTATGCTTCGCACCTGGTATTTCCTTGCTTGGACCAGAATTCCCTAAACCAATATCACTGGACAATAGTGACCAATGAGGCTTTCTCTGTTAGAGAAACAAAGGGCCCTTGAATCTGGTGATTATGAACTGAATGGGTCAGTTGTTCAACTTGTTCAATTCAGTGAATTCCTTTGATAAAGATCAATCAAGAGCACCTTGGTCTAAGGGAAACAGATGAGAGCTCGAGTGCTGCTTTGATATTATAGGGGTTCAGCCTTACTTCTGCTCACAGGTATAGCATCTGGGTCTGCTCCAGCATCAGGAGGTGACCGACCGTCTTGTGGAATGGAGTATTTGGAGGTGTATTATCTCTGGTGTCACACAAGCCTGATGGGCACCCTGAGATTCTGATGACTATTGGAGTGAGCAGACCGAGTGTCCATCTGGGTTGCCAAGGGACCCTGTCTCCATCCTTCTCCGGGATGAAATCAAAGGCTAAGACTTCAGTCAATGAGAAATAGAGCAGGAAAGTAAGTTCAAGACTTTGACTTAAAGCTCAGTGCCAGTCCTGTTGTGAAACCTAGCAATAGATAGAGACCAGAGGTCCCTATCTCTGCGAAGTGATCCCACTCAGAACCTCTCTACCTGCCCTAGCAACAGGCAGAGACCCATGCCCCAGTAGGACAAGAGTTTTCAGCCTGCATCACCCTCATCTACATAAGCAACTGGCACACATACCCAAGACAGTCCTGCAAGTGACTGTAGGACTCAGGTAACATCCAGCTGTCATTCTGAGCTGGCACTAACCCTACTCCAACATGGACAAACCACAAGGTTATAGAGCACAAAAGTGGGCACATGACTCCATCTTGAATTTCTAAAACCATCACTGAGTAGATACCAGTTCTTGGGACCTGGCATCATAGCCTAGCAGCAAGTCCTTGCCTTACAGGTACCAGGATCCACATCTGTGGGATAGCGGGGTATCTTTTTTTTTTTCAAGAATGAACAGGTATTCACACCTGTTTCACAAATGAAAGTAAGCCCAGAAAGAGAGAAAAATGTCAAAGGACTTGTTAAAGTATAACTATTGAATGAATGGCGTTTTAAATTGTTTTTACTCCCAGTGATAGAGATTGCTTCATCCCACTTCTGAGAGTAGCAATAAATATTTATACGGTACTCAAATGAGGTGTTCCGACCATCAGGCTACTCTGCTAGACTACAATTTCAAGTGAGAGTAAAATGGACAGGATAAAAATCAAACAACAACAAAATAAGCCTCACACTAAATCACTTGTTCATTTACTCTTAAACACATTGGAGAACGATTTCCAATTTCTACTCCTGGGTGGAATCTCCTCATCATTAAAACTGAAGGCCTATCACAAATTCAGTAGTTAGCAAAGTGTTCTTAACCCAGCAGGGCAAGGCAACAAGTTAATCAGGCATAGTTCAAGGAACCCAGGGATGGCCAACCAGTACAATTTTTCATTCATGCTGCAGTTTGTCATAGTCTTGTAATTAGAAAGAAAAGTATTTCTACTTAGCAGAGAGCTTTAAAAAAAAATCAAAATCTGTTTTAAAATTTCGCAGAGGCTTCCACAACTTTGGAGGGTATGTTCATTGTCTGGTGCTGTGGCTTCAGCTGCTTAGTGATTGGAGAACTTCTTTGATAGGGTTCCTTTAGCCGTGTCACAGAAAAATGCCAATCTCCAGTAAACATGGCAGAGTTAGCCTTCTAGCACAGTTAATATGCCCAAGTGCTCATTCTAGAGGAAATGTGTTTTTTCACAAACAAAAGAATTGAGGTGGGCCCAGCACCATGGCTCAATAGTTAATCCTCCACCCAGTGGCTCCAGGATCTCATATGGGCATCGGTTTGTGTCCTGGCTGCTCTACTTCCTATCCAGCTTCCTTGTGATGGCCTGAGAAAACAATGGAAGATGGTTCAAGTCCTTGGGACCCTCCACCTACACTGGAGCGCAGAAGAGGTTCCTGGCTTCAGATCAGTTCAGCTCCAGCCATAGTATCCATTTGGAGTAATAATAACAATAACAATAATAATAATAATAAAAAGCATAAATCTTAACAAAAACAAGTACTCATTTCTTCCATATCATTTTTATTAATTAGTTGTTTTGAATTCCACTTTGTGTTCTGGCATTAAAGAGGACACGGGATAGGGTAAGAAATTGTTCTCCTCCATTTAGCTTCTGGCCAATGAGCCATTGCTTTAATATAGTATTAGACTACTTAAAAAATTGAAACATAATACTGGGACATTTTTATGGGTACAGTGTGGTAACCCTACATGTGTATGCAATGTGAACAGATTAAATCAGGTTAATTACCATTTCTAGCTCCTTAAACAATCATTTCTTCATGTTGTTTCATTATACAAGATATCACAAGTTGTTGATAATAATATTCACCCTTCTGTGCTCTGGAAGCTGCTCCTCTTTCCTAAGAGTATTTTGGTACCCATCACCTGACCTCCATCCACCTTTCTTGCCCTGTCTTTGGGGACCACTATTCTCCCGGTACCTCCAGCACAACCATTGCGGTCCCTCCTTTGCCCTTTTGGCATCCAAGAACTCAAGTTTTTGAACATGTAGTTAGCATCCTCCCGTATCTGCAAAGAACATCAAACCCTCCTGCACCTCACATTCCCCAACCCATTTACTGGCTCTTCTGGTTTGCTTCAAAACATGTGGCTTTTGAATCTGAAGACAGAAGCCATTCAATTTGCCAATTGGAATTTGTTCCACACATTTTTCTGCTAGAGAAAATTTCCTCTTTAAAGCTCAGTAAATACACCAATTTTGCTGAACACCCCATTGCCATGCACATGTACACACACTCTCCTATTTTTAGAAACGAGGAGCTAATTCTCAGTGCACTATGGAAATTCTATTTTAATAATTAATGCATTGGTTTTGCATAATGTTTGCACCTGATATTTTGCTGTGTATACAAGACAGTTCTAGGAATAGTTAGCTGTCAGTTTACTGTTACATTAGGTGAGATTTAATGAAGTAATTTGGCTTCTTAAAAAAACCTTAATTTTCCCCTTTAATGTTAAACTCTCCTGTCCCTCCATTCTTCTATCTTCACTCAGATCCCTAATTGAATAAAAACTAATTTTTCTAGCTAAGTGAAATATGTAGGCCTCTAATTCTTCATGAACAAAAAAACGATGAATATTTCAATAAAGTCAATGACTGGCAATATTAAACAAGTGTTTAGAATACACATTGTACTGTATATACATAAATTTAAATCTGAAGATCAACAATTATTGAATATATGTGTGTAATTACAAATATTTGCGCATGTGTTTTTGACTACAACTATAAAATTTAAGATTCTAATCAAAGCTTGAGGTTTCCCAATTATGTAAAATTTGAAACATAGCTTTTCTAACATAATTACTTTCTTAAAAAATATCTTCATTTTTGATGATGTTTATAGTTGATCACGGTGGAAAGGATCGAGGGTTAAGGGGAAAATGGGTGTGATCATTGTTTTTAAATTTTCTGTTTCTTCCTGTTTCTGGGGGAAGGAGAGAGATAAGGGGAGAAGCCATACCCAGCTTCCCAAATGGCCCAGTACCCTGGGATGGGGAACTGCCACCCGATACCAACCCAGAGCCCCAATGGGTGCATGCTTTGAGGGTTCTGCTCAAGTGGTTTGGTAGTTCTGAAATGCTGTTGGTTTCACCCACCCAGGGAGGAGGAAGTCCCCCCCACTGCCCACTATTTGACATAGTCGACCTTTAGTCTCCATTCACCCAGAGGTTTGTTGTCATCATTTGGCTGAGGTAGTTGTCCCATTTGTTTTGTTTCCCTTCCTCTGCTATGGTACCCAGTGGGCTGCCATATTCCTCATGTGCACCAGTGTCTGCCATCCACTACTCCTCCTTTTCCACTGAGGACATATTCTCGCAGGTGGGCCCAAGGACACTGGCCAGGAGACCTAAGCCACACTGGACACCCCCCCCCCATCCCTGGGGCTCATGAACTCAGCATCTACCATGCAAGCAGGCCCAAGGACTCAGGCCAGGTACCCAGACCCCACTGGAACCCCTACTCCCAGGGCTCACAAACCCAGCATTAGGGAATAATGATTGAAATCTGATTTCATCTATTTGTCAAAGGCAATTTTCAAAACCTTAAAAAACACACAATGCACAAACAAAACTGATAAATATTTTAATGCAATGTTATATTCATTTCCATTAGATTATACTCATAGTAGAATACCTCTACCTTCTTTCATTTGACTATTCTTCTATGTACATGTAGCTATTCACCTCTTAGAGGTTAGAAATTTAAGAATAATTATTCACGCAGTAATTTATTTACATAGATTTTCCCTGAGTATGGGATTAAATATGCAAACTAAATTTATACCTCTGCTGATACTTTAGTTTACTTTGCTTTTCAAACAACATGGAAACGTAAAACTTAACAATCTTAGAGACTGCAAATATTGAAAGTACATTTAGAATAAAGCTGAACCTAAAATCATTACAGTTAATCATTTTCCATGCACTTCCGTAGTTCAAATTTGATTTCATATCTAAATTCCAGTGTTAAGTCTTAACTTGAATTGCTGATTTCATTATTCCTCATCAATTACTAAAAAGGTCATTGTTTATTAGTCAAATAAAAATATATAAGAGAAAGTTTAATATGTTTAAATATAGTATATTAATTAATAATGCTTGGTCAGCAAATTTTATTATTGTCATCCCTTTTTAAATTTTTAAAAAATTTTTTGCAATAGCTTCTATTTGCTAACACAGGTGGACCCCTACAATGGGTTATCCAATAGAGATTGTTGTAATTGATTAATTGTATCACTTCCATCAAATAATTGAATTTGCCCTATAGATTTCCTTTTCCTTGTCTATAAAATAATGATAACAAATTAGACATATTGTCTCACAGGTCTTTTCCAGTCCCTGTATATAAAAGTAAAGTGCCACATTTTATATGTTAGTCCATTTATAAACTACCTTTTAAAACAATTTCAAAATAGCTTTATAAAATATAAGATTCTTTGGTGTAAAACTATTGAACATCTGTCATTTCCTTTCATGCAAATCTTTCTGATTTAGCTGCAAGATATAATTATTTTATCAAGGCATCTTAGAACGTATTGAAATAAGGCTAATGTGAGATGTATAATAAATATTGATGGTAAAGATGATGTGATTTTTTTTTTTTTGCTAACACAGCTGCAGGTATCACCACAAAACGAAACGTCAGTGGACTGCACTGAATGTATCAATACAATTGGGTTTCGTTTAACATCTGACCTTAGTGGAGACTTGTTCTTAAATACGTACAGCTACAGTGAGAAGCAAACAATCCTGATTTGTCATACGAACTAGAGGTCTGAGTAAACACACAACAGTCACTAATTTCGCACGCCCAGCTCTCCTTCCATGAGGGAATGGTGTTGAGAGAGCACCAGTCGCATTCATTGTTAAAACACCAATCCAATGACAATAGCGGCCACGCATGAGCAGTATCACAGCGAGTTAAGGATGGCAATGGGAAGATGAGTAAAAATCTGATAACTTAAAAAAAAAACTGATAACTTAAGGGAACCGCGTGGTTGTGAGAAGACTAGAAATCAATTAACATTTGCAATTCATTAAAGTTACTTTGTCTTGCTTCTCAAATGAGGAACTTTGATGATCAATTGATCCAATAAGAGGAATTATAAATTGAGACTGATTCATATTTTTACCATATACTTCTTCACTGCAACAGTATCTATTACTGGAAACATGGTTAATGAGATGAAAGTGTGAGGCACAACTAAGGCTCACATCAGATTTAACAAACTGTGACCATGATTTTAAAAAATGATAAAGACTTCTGAGGATAAGATCTTTACAAATATTTGGATAACCCCAGCATGATCTTCCATGTTATGATGCTCTTAGAGCACTACTTCTAATCCTGCTTATTGAATACATGGTTTTAGGTGTCAGAGAGCACGCAAAGTCTGATTATCTGTTTACAGACTGGGGCTCATTCCAACCCAGTGCTTGATTAACTGGTGTGCAATGGCTCGACTTGGTGGCACAAAGAATGCCTGCTGCTTCCCTTTGGTCAGGACGTCCACCACCTAAAATATACCATAATGAAATGCATTAGAACTGCAGAGTTAGCCATGTGTAAATTTTACTGTCATGTTTATACAACCCAAAGCACAATGACATCCGTAGTGAATAATAGTAAAAAGTTATAACATATACAGTCAACATGCAAAATTTAGTACGATGCTTTACTTCACTGAGTGTTTGAATATCATGTCTCAGAGAGCCTACTTCCTTATGAAAATGGGGTCAAAAGAAGCAAAAGATATGTTTTATATTTAACTTCAAAGTCAATTTTTAGAGCAGATTTCCCTTTTAAAAATTCCAAAACAATAACTTAATTTCTGCTTGGTGGAGTTGAAGGTAAGATAAAATTCTCATTTCTGAACTACTGTTTATCCTTTTTTCAGTCCACCAAAAGACATCATCGCTTTGAAGGAAGGGTCTCTGTAATTTGAAATGACACGGAATCATTAGTGCTGGATGAATTTCACAGACTGAGTTAATACAGAACCCACTACTGAATACCTACTCTTCCTATATCAATTGCCGATTATACTGGAATCCACGCATAATGAGAGGGCTGTAGCCATTCAGTCAACTCCTGAAAATCCTTGCTGCATGCAGAAACCAATACAGTCAGGGAACAATCAATAGTAGAAGGAAATTAAATTGAACTTTACCTGTTCTCTAGTGAACCAGCGGGCATCCTCTATTTCATTCTTGTCAACTTTAATTTCTGTAGACACTGCCACAGCTAAGCAACCAATCATTAAGGAGGAGGGCATCGGCCATGGCTGACAAGAGACATACTGAACATGGCCAACTTTGATCCCACTCTCCTCTTCTACTTCTCTCCGAACAGCATCCTCTATTGTCTCCCCTAATCAAATGGGGCAAAAGAACAAGCTGTGGATGAACATGCCCTGGACATTTTATGCTCCAAAGGGTTCAAACATTTGGAAATCACTTTGGATAGAAACCCAATTCTTTTTCATCAGAAACCAGAAGTCTAAAACTAGACTGGAATTGAGAAAAACATGTATTTTTTCAGTACATAACCGTATACAGAATATCAAAATTCTAACAAGAAATTCTTCATTCCATTGAGGTCCAAATTTGTTGAGCTTTAAAACAATTCAAATATCTACTGCTTTCCAACTTTCTACTACTTTTCCAACTATCACTAGCAGCTAAATAGTTTGTACATATTTTGGATGTTTTTGATCCAATTACTATATTATTTTATTCAAATAGTATAAATTCTTATCACTAATACTATAAATTGTCAGCACATGGCTTTTACAAATGTTTAGCCTTTTTCACATTAAAATATTGAAACCATTTTTTATTATTGTGTCAAATAACTATGGTACATTCTTTTCAAACAATTATGGTACATAATTTTTAACTATGGTTTAACCATGATAGAAGATGATACTGAATACTTTTTCCTTCAAAGTAATTGCTTCCTCTAGAGGGCCATTTCTCAGCTATCATACAGTGGTATATACGAATGTGCTCTTAATGAGATGTTTTAATGCGTAAAATTCAAATCAAGCTAGGCACAGATTCATGCCCTTAAGTAAGTTTTCCTTATATGCCTGATGGCTGAAATTTAGGAAAGACTAGAGGAAATAATTTTTCAGTAAAACAGATATGAAAGTTTACAAGTAATCTGGCAAATACAATACAATGAAACATGCTGCAAACATAACTGTCCATTTCTGATTGATAAACTTTCTACACAAAGATCATAAACTAATATTCATCCAAAGAAAATAACTGAGTACCTCGCAAAGTTCAGGGGAAATGGAATTAAAAATACTCTGGTACAAAAGTTTTTGAAATATTCTTGTAATATGCATTTTCCATGAAATGCTAATTTTTAAATTTTATTTGAAAGGCAATGAAGCAGAGAAAGATCTTCCATCTTGGGTTCACTCTGCAAATGACAGCAGCTGGTAGAGGCGGGCACCCACCTCCCAGCCTGCGATGACATGAGCATCTGCCACATGGGGGGTGGGCACCAGGCACTTCACCCAAGCTTCCTGAAAACCCTTTATATTCAGTGATAACTATTACAAGGGGAGATTAAATCTTTCGTAATCAGATATTCTCAATCACATATTCTCTTGATGCTTATCAAACTACTACCAATGACAGACATCTGTTCTAAACTGCTGACTTGACAATGACAATGTCCCTGCTCTATGGGGCTTCCAGTCTTCTAAGGGAAGGCAGTGAAGATATTAATAAACACGTACATTCATGCCATAGAAGCTGGTGATGTGTGCTACAGGGAAACATCAGGCAAGACAAAAGGGGTCGTGAATATAGCATATATATAACCCACATATTTAGGGCAATGACATCAGACCTCTTTGAAGAGGCAATAGTGGAGTCTATTATAGAAGGAAGCAAGTTATAAGTCATTCAGATACCTCAACCAAGAGAAATACAGAAAAGTGCAAATACTGAATGCTTAATAGAAGGGAAAAAAATTAATACCGGTGAAAATCAGTTATGTTCAAACTATACCACTAAAATTATATCGTGTTTCAAATATCTTAAGACAGTGCAATAATGTCATGTTTAGAATGTTTTCTTTATTTAAAAGCAGAGGCAAACAGTCCACTGGGTCGCTTCTCCATTTCCTGCTGTAGCTGGGGCTGGGCCAGGCTGATGCAGCGGTTAGCAAATCAACCAGGGACCCAACCACCCATCTCCCAAAGAGCACCTGCTGCCTCTCAGGATGTGCTATTTGTAGGCAGCTGAAACAAGCTGCTGAGCAGAGACTTGAAGCTAGAGACTCTGATATGGGATGGCTATCATCACAGGTAACCGAACCACTAGGCAAAACACCTGCCCCAATCCAGCTTCATTAAATGGCAATTTATCTGAGATTTCTCAAACACTACCTAAAGTGATTAACTGGAAACTATAAGTCAGATGAACAGTATTATAAAAATTCTGAGTGAAAGACTTACCAGGTTCAATAAATCCAGCCAGGCAAGAGAACATGCCTGGGGGAAATCTTTTCTGCCGGCCTAGAAGGCATCTGGTCCCATCTGGATGAATCACTTGCATGATTACGACTGGATCTGTAGAGAAGAAAACATGTGAACTGGAGTGACAGGAATACTAAGTCAGGCTCATGGTACAGCCGCACTGCCTGGAGCTGCTGCAGGAGTCAGACTCTTCTCAGGCTAGTGGGGAGTTCTCTTTCTGCCCTGTTAGAGCTGATGGCACTGCAGCTCGGGAAGATGGCAAGGATGCTGTCGGCAAGCTAACGGATGGCCCCTGCTGTTCTCTTTTGATTACTCACAGTCTCCTCTGCTGGTTAGCTTCCCAGATGTGTGTGGAATGGCAGGAGGCCTCGTCCAGGAACTCAAGCCCCCTCTCCCTTGGGGCTGGCAGGAATTTAACCACTTGGGCCATCATCACTGCCTGAACAGGGGTGCAAAACCAGGCAGAAGGAACTGGGACTTGGAAGTGGGAATTGAACCCCCAGGTATCCTGAAATGGGATGCAGGCATCTGAACCAGTGGCCAAACTGCGGGGCCAAATGTCTGCCACGTTTGCTCAATACGTTACAGTACTCAAAAACTTAGGTACATCTACTTGGTGGAGACACACACACACACACACACACACACACACACACACACACACACACACAGAGGGAGAGAGAGAGAACTCTTCAGTCAAAGAGAGAGAACTGTCCAAATGCTGGCAATAGCTAGCCCTGTGCCAGACAGAATCAAGAACACAGAACTTCAGCAGCGTTTCCAACGTGGGTGACAGAGATCAAAGCCAACTTGGCCATCATTGGCTGACTCCCAGGGCGAATCAGCAGGAATGTTCAGTAGCAAGCAGAAGTGCTGGGATTTAAACTGGCACGCAGATACGGCATTCAAGCATCCCACGTGGAAGATCAACTTAAGATCACAGTCCCCACAACACTTTGCTCAATTTTAGTGGTAACATTTATTCTGTAGTTACAGTTTGTTTCTATAAAACATATTTGTATTTATGAGAGAGACAGGAAGAAAGAGAATGCACACATGTGTGCTTGATTCACTTCCCCAATGCCTGCAACGCTAAATAAAACCAGAGCCTGGGTCGCATTCCAGACTTTCATGGATAGGAACTTTCTCAGCTGGGCCATCACAGCTGCCCTTCAGGGTCTATGCTGCCATCACGAGCTGGAGTGAGAACCAAACCCATGCTGGGATATAGGCATGGGCAACTTAACCATTAGGCTCAATGCTCACCACCTTTCATGTGTTAATTTAAAAACAGATATTACAAGGACAGAGCAAAATTAAGATTTTACTTTGGTAAACACAATGCATGTTCCTCTCCTTTCCACCTCATCCCTTAAAACTTTTTTGAAAGGCTGGTATGACGCTATGGCTAGGTTTATAAGAAAATACAAAATTATTATTTTGTGTGTGTGTGTGTGTGTGTGTGCGTGCGTGTGTGTGTGAGTTTGGTGGTACCCAGCAGCATAAACATGCTTATCTGCAGAGAATGAAGGAAGGGCTGAGTACACAGAAATTTCTGGTGAGGAAGGAAACCAATAGGAGCTCCATGGGTAGGAGGACAGCTCTTGGAAGTGTGCCTGAGTTTGGCTCTGTGAGAGTGGCCAGCCGGGGCCACAGTTCACCACTTGAAGGAGTCGCAGCATTACTGACTGTGGAGGAGGCTGGCGTGCTCAACATGGCAAGAGCCGCCAGGGGCACTGGCCGACACAGAATCAATTTCACGGATCACACAGCCTCAGTGTCCGGGTGCCAGAGTGAGGAGAAGATCCGTGCGCACTGCTGTGCGGCAAGCACACACTCCTTTCTGCCATTCCCCTACACGGTGCCCACACTGGTGGACGGAGGTTGCCGTTCTGAGTGCGGCGCAGCGCTGTGGCTGCCGCAGCTGGGGAATACATGGGATTTTGTGCAGAAGCACACAATGAGGCTTCTGTCACAAGGAGCACTCCGAATCCCTTCCTGACTTCAAGTTGGGGTTACTAGCCTGACGGGGTGGCATGATCACTCATCCATCACTCCAGAAACCCTGTGAGGCACAGCAGAGGGAGGTCCTAAGGCTGGGCACCCAGAAATAGCCGGAGCAGGAAACACTGGTACCCTCTGTAGTTGGAGCAGACTTTTGTGGCTGAGGATTGCTTCAGCACCCAGTGGCTGTGGGAGTCTCCTGCACAAAGACTGCAAGAATCCAGTGACTGTGCAGTGATGTGGAGCTGGGCACAGAGAGAACCAGAGAGGTGTTTGGTAGAGTTCATGTGCTTGTGTGGGTGGGCGTTCTGGTCGCTTTGGGCTAAGCATGGGTGTCGACCACTGGAAAGAGAGGTCATGCAGGGACATCACTATCAGATGTGATCACTTCCTCCCCCGTGTTGACAAAAGACAAGATCTGCCATGTCCAATCTGGGTGTCACTGTGGAGACACACTCCAGACTTGAGCACAAACCAGTACAGGCCAACTACACCGAGGACACGCCTCCAGGTATTCACTGAAGTTTGAAGGAGTGTTCGCTCCACCAAGGCATAAAGGCAGAGTTCAAAGATAAAAACGATCAGAGCAGTAAAGCTGGCACTGGTAGGCATGACTACAAATAAACAGTGCCACGTGAGAGACACGAACAAAGGAATATGACCACACTTCAGTATTAGAATGTGAAGATGAAAGACTGATAAAATGCTGGAAAGTGAGAAAGAATATAACCACAAGATTAAAATTAAAATAAGGGAAGAAATGAAATGGACACAAAAATGACATCTAATATGAATAAATTGAAGAGCTGATTTTTTGGAAAAATTGAGAAAACTGATATACCACTGGCCCAACTAACATGAAAAAAAAGGAGGGAGAAGACACAAATCATTAAAATCAGAGATGAAAAAGGAAATACAGCAGTGCATTCCACAGATACAAAGAAAGATTCATCAGAAATTACTGTAAGGGCTACCTGTCAACAAACTGTAAAATCTGGAAGAAATGGATACATTTCTGGACACATAAAACCTGCTTAAATCGGGCCGGGACAACACAGAGAACCTGAGCAAACCAATAGCTAAGAAGAAGGCTGATTCAGAAGTAAACACTGTTAAATCCAAGAGGCCCAGGACCGGATGGAGTCACTCCTTAAACCCATCAAAAACTTCTCAAGAGCTAATTTCAGTTCTTCTCAAACTATTCAAAACAAGTGAAAGGGAGGGAATTTTCCCAAAGTCTTTCATCAGCATCAAATCAGAAAATAATAAAACAGAGAAAGACAACTGTAGACCAGTATCCATGATGAATATAGGTGTTAAAATCATCCCAAAAAACCCCCAGCTATTCAAATCCAACAATACACGTCAGAAAGATCATTCAACCAGACCAAGTAGGATTTGTCCCTGGTACACAGGAGACGGCTCAACATATGCAAATCAATGAATGGAATATGATATATTACATTAGCATACTGTGGAATAAAAAGCACATGATTATCTCAATAAATGTAGAGAAAGCATTTGATAAAGTACAACATCTGGGCCCAGTGCGGTGTCCTAGTGGCTAAAGTGCTTGTCTTGCATGGGGTAAGATCCCATACGGGCACCAGTTCCTATCCTGGCAGCCCTGCTTCTCATCCAGCTCCCTGCATGTGGTATGGAAAAGCAGTCGAGGACGGCCGAAGGTTTTGGGATCCTGCACCTGCATGGGAGACCTGGAAGAAGCTCTGGGCTCCTGGCTTCAGATCAGTGCAGCTCCAGCTGCTGCAGCCACTTGGGGAGCAGATCAATGGATGAAAGATCCTCCTTTCTGTCTCTCCTCCTCTCTGTATATCTGACTTCACCTGTCCCCCAAAAATACAACATTCTTTCATGATAAAAAGCTTAAGCAAATTGGATACAAAAGGTTCATTATTCAGCCCAACAAAGGCAATATATGAAATTCCCATAGCCAGCAAGCCAGTCCCGTGTTAAAAAAAAAAGTTGGGGAAAAGTTTTGGAGTTATTTCCAATAAGACCCAGCACCAGACAAGTATGTCCACTCTCATCATTGCTATTCAGCCCCGAAGGCTCCAGCCAGAGCTAATAGGTAGGGAAAAAAAGAAAGAAAAGGAAAGAAGAAATTAAGGGATACAAATCAGAAGGTAAGAACTCAAGCCATGCCTGATTGTAGGTGACATGATTTCCTTGAGGATCCGGAAGTGCCTACATTAAGAGATTACTGGAACTTCTAAGAAAGTTTCATGAAGTTGTAGGATATAAAAGAACACAGAAAACAAACAATTCCACAACTAAGAAAGAACTTGGAAGATCAGAGTAGCTAAAAAAAAGAAATAACGACCTTGGAATAAACTTGGAATAAATGTAGCTAAGGATGTGAGGAATCTCTAAGACAAACTTAAAAAAACAATTAAAAAAATACATAGATGACACCAAAACAGTAGAAAAACCTCCCATGTTCATGGATTGGCAGAATTAACATCATCAAAATGTCCATACCACTACAAGTAATTTACAGATTCCATGCAATCCCAATCAAAATAACTGCAGCATTCTTCTCAGATACTGAAAAAACAACACTAAGATTCATATGGAACCATGAGACCCCAAATAGCTACGGCGGTCTTAAATATCAGAAACAAAGCTGCCAGTATCACAGCACTAGGCTTCAAGCTGTACTTGTGGGACAGTTGTCACCCACACAGCCTGGTGCTGGCATGAAAAACGACCTGAAGATCAGTGGAACAAAACAGAAATGAACCCACAGATTGATATCCAACTAATTTTTGACAAGTAAACTGAATTAATCCAGGAAGAAAGGACAGTATCTTCAAAAGTTAGTGCTGGGAAAACCGACCCGCACTCCACTCCCCAGACACCTCCTGCGAAGCTGCTGCATCCACTGGTGCTCCCCGCACACAGTTGCCACAGGATGGCATACTGGATTTCCAACAAGGCACAAACTGGAAGCAGTGATAGCAGAGGGTGAGGAGGCCCAGCTGTGAGCAGTGGTCATGGAGAACTAACTGCAGGCCAGCCTGCTTTGGTGGCACTGCAACCAGCACTGGATTTGGGGGGCTCTTCTATCTCCCTACAAAGCGGAGCCAGACTGGAGGGCTTCTGGAATCTCAAGATACCAAATTCATACTAATTAACAGAAAGTCCATAAATGTTTACTCATGCGTAATGCCTTCTAGTTAAAAATTATGAAAGTATATAATACTTTAATGCGTGCAGTCTACACGGTTACATAAGACACACTTTTAATAAAAAGGCAACGCTGTTGGCACATGACAAATTCGTCTTTCCAGAATGTCCAATTCGCCAAGATTTCAGGAAAAGGGGCTTACCAACTCTTGGATAGGAAGTGTTATGAACGCCACGGAAACTGGGACAGCCTTCCTTTAAGCACACTCTTTTATAGCCACCTCCTTCAATTTTCGTTGCATTTCCACAGGTTGGGCAGAACTTGTAACGACTGTGCCAGGCCAGGACAGATCTTGCTTGAGCTACAACCCCTTCAAGGGAACATGGCAAATTTGAATTCTGTGACACATATGACAAACGTGGGGGTAACATGTTCTTAAACTATAAAATGGATTCACATTGCCTTCTGAATAGCTATGCTCAAGGGTTTTAATTTATATTTTAATGACATTTTTCTTACACGGGGGGTCTAAATGTTTGGATGACAAATGAAAATTCGATCCAACTTTCATCTTAAAAAATACAACTGTTAAGACAGTTACAGTAAAATCCTTCTTATACATACATGATCACATCTGGCTCTTCTGTGATTTTTAATTTTGGGTTTGAGGGATACTTGAAAGTGTTTATGAAATGAATAAAAAAAGATAAGCTTACTTTGGTGCATACAACTGAAATCTATGCAGTTTTCCCATAGTATGTATTTCCATAAATCTTTTGAATATTCTTTTATGCCTGGATTTCAATTTTTCATCAAAATAAACTTATCATTTAAAAGTTTTCTCAAACATTTTTGAGGCACGTTTATACATGATTCTAGCGTACAGTGGCTTCAAAATAATGATTTAAGTAAAAATATGTCACAAAGGCAGTTTCCAACTTGCACTTGGATCCTAATACATTTACTACTGGAAAACTGCAGGAAACTTCTCCACTCCTCGTGGGGGTGTGTCAGCCGTCACTGGCCCCTGCCAGTGTGGTCCGCATCCTGTTTTAGGCTGGGTACTCTATGTGGTATGCAGCATTCCACATTTATAATGTCTCAGTTTAAGTGTGTTTATGAAAAAAGTGCCCAGATTAACTCTTAGGATATATAATTCTGTATACAGTATATATCCTAGCAGTTCAAAGAGTTATTATGGGCTTAGCGGAAACCTTACAACTGAAGACCTAAGACTAGAAAATTCTTTATTTCTAATGCTTGACACAACTGCTCACCCTAACATAATTTGGCTATGAGTCTCTGAAATACAATAACAACTACCATTATGCAGGAATATGAATAAGTAACATCAAGACTAGCACTGGAGTCCCGGTGACATCAGGCATCAGTCTGCTGCATTACCTTGTAGCAGGTAGCTTACTCCTGGGTACTCCATCATCTCAGGGTCACCAGAAGAAAAGCTGACACTCACCGAGTACCAAATGTATATTAATAAGCAGCACATGCCAAGTACCACACAGAGAGACTTATTTAATGATTAGAGCAATTTAGGAGGAAGATGGCTACTGCTATTACTCTTATTTTCTAGAAGATGAAATCAAAAGTCAAAGAAGTGAAGTGACTCCATACGGTTACAGACTGAAGGAGTTAAAGGGACTTAGTTTCCTTACTAGAGAAAAAAATTAACTACCTCACTTATCTGGTAATTTTGATCTTAAAATTTTTACATACACCTCCAAAAGGAAAATAAAAAAAGCTTGATGATTTCTCCATGCGTGTGCAGAATAAAATGTACCCCAGCTGATTTTGAGGAGGAAGGGTGCAAGGCAGTCTCTGGAAGGGCCCAACATGTCAGCTAACGGCAGGTGGACACAGACAAATGATTCCTTCCCAATCTACCCACCTATATCCTAACAGGACTTGGTTCCTTCCACTCCACTGACACTTCTCTTGTCAAATTCATCAACATTTAAACTGGGTTTAGAATACATCCTAAATCTTAACTATGCAAAAAATGCTGCAGCAATAGAAAACAAAACAAAGTCTTTGCTTCTATGTGTAGTGCATGGGATTGCACAAAGCTGCATGTGTAAGGGTTCATATGGAGGAACCAATCTCAAACGATTAAAACCATAGCAGATCTCTAGGCCAGGAACCTTAGGAAGTTACTAACTGAAGACACAGCAATGTCACTGTTAACTGGAAAGTACACATCTCCTGGAAGTGCAGACACCGACAACTAGAATTCACTTCTAAGATGCCGATGATCACCCATACAAATAAACCATGCTCATTTCTTACCAGCTTCTTTTTCTTTCAGTTGCAGCAGAGCTGGCATTGGAGGGTGAAGAAAGTAACAATTCTCATGTCTTTGCTTAAATTCCTCAGCAGCAGTAGGCTCTATACCCAGGGCAAACCAGGCAACCAACCCATCTTCTTCCTCTCCTGGGACTCCTTCGGAGTGATTCGGGAGCTTTGTTTTCATCTCAAGTTCTACTCCAAGAAAAATCAAGGTGATCTTCTCGGGCTGAGCTAAGTACTCCTTTACATCTGTGTAGCTCAGCTGACAAAGCCTGACTTCCGGTTGTTCAGAACTTTCCTTATTGCCACCGAGAGTGACCAAGGGATTTAAATCAGAGAAAAGGATATACACGGTGGCTGGATGGCTTTCTTTAGCTAGTAGCCAGTCAGCATTAGTTCTTTTCTCACTTTTCCGGTCCAGCAGTGTCCTGCTAAAATAATTTTCACAATCTTTCACTTCGTTGGTTAGGAACCAAGGCTTCTTCCCACCTTTAGCTATAGCTAGTAAGTTAGCTATATGCTTATAACCCCAAAACACAGCAATATCCAGGGCGGTCTGTCTCGATTTATTCACAGCTGATCTGTCACACCTACAGACAGCAGGAGAAGATTGGGAGGAAAAAATAAAATAGAAAGTAAAGATTTTTACTTATAACTATTTCAATAAAATAGTCCCAGAAAAAGATTATGGCTTAATGACTCATCGATCACTTAAGATTTTATTTTTACCTTTTGGTTGATACTTTTACTACTATAAGTTTAAAAGAACTACTTAATAATTATAAATGCTTAAACATTAAAAACAGTGCATTTGAATTTTTTTTTTGGATGGTTACCTAGAAAATCAAAGGTAGTGGTTTTTTTTTTCCTTTTTAAGATTTACTTACTTATTTCAAAGTCAAGATTAGAGAGAGAGGAGAGACACAGAGAGAAAGGTATCTTCTACCCTCTGTATGACTTTCCAGCGCGCAGCCAGGCTAAAGACAACCTTTATCTGGGTCTTGCACGTAGGTACAGATGCTCTGGCACTCGGACTCTTCTTGGTTGCTTTTCCCAGGCCATCAATGGAGAGCTGGACTGGAAGTAGAGCAGCTAGGACTTGAACTAGCACCCTCAGGGGATGCCACAGCACAGGTGGCAGCTTTACCCAGTATATCACAACACTAGTCCCGAAATACTAGGGCTTTCTGTGTCATGAGAAGATTCTAAAGCACAGAAGTCCATGGTAGTCACACTGAATCACACTGACTCACATCTTACATTTGAGAGGAAAAGATTAAACCCCCCATAAATTTCCCTTACTTACTATTTATAAAGGGCTAATTCCTTGACTTAAGAAGAAAGTTTTAGTTAGAAATTGTGGTGCATTTTTAATAATAAGCTCATCTGTGAATTATTCACTAGCCTACTGATACAAAGACAGCTACAACAAAGATTTAAAAGGACGTGTTTTCCAGAGAATTAAACCTTTGCAAGCAAAACGTTTACCCTTGGTCAAGCAGGAACTGGACAACGTCAGGGTGCCCATTCCTGGCAGCGTACATCAGAGCGGTCCAGCCATTTTCCGACGTTTCGTTGAGAAGAGACGGAGAATGGCTGAGCATCCCTGCCAATTTGGCCATGTTTCCTTCGGCAGCTGAGCAGTGAAACTGGGAAATCATCTCTTTCTTTGTGGTTCCTTTTACAAAAGACATTTTCTCCCTTAAAAAAAAAAAAGAAACACAGGAAAAATAATTCTCATTTGAAACTGCTTTCTCTTATCAATCTATGCACAATATCTGAATGTTAATGTGGTTAGAATAATAAGTTTATGAAACACTACATATTTGAATAGTCAGTGATCATCACAAAATGCATTATAAAATTGTCATCAGTTGACAATTATAAATATAACTCAGTTTAAAGACTTACAAATATACCCATAAGGGTATATAAAGTAATATATAAAGGGCTTTGGTAATTAAATGTATATACACATGGGGGTACAATAGATAATGTAAAAAAAAAAAGCTCTGGAATAAGATACAAAGGTCATATGTTGGGAAGAAGAGCTAGGGAGCATACTCAGGGGGCAGGGTACTTGTGCCTTATGGGGTTGGGACATGATGGCAAGGAGCTAAAGATGGAAGTAAAGGCGGAGGCTTCTGGCCGATTACAGGCAGAATTCTCTCTGTGGTACCAACCCTAGGTGCTGCAGAATTCCCCTACCTTTGGGGAAATTATTCAAAGGCTTTCAGGGTTTCACACTCTATTGCTTTACTTTGAGCTGCTCATTCTGCCTGGTCATGGTGTAAGAGAAGGGTCAAGATTTTTTTTTTTAACCTTAATGAGTAATCCCAATGACTCAGCACTATGCCTGAATCACCACCTTTGTCCCACTGTGGAGCTGGCAGTATTATCTTCCTCACCAATCAAACGTCCACATATCTTTGGATCTTTCAGCGCACATAGCTCTTTTGCTCACTTTGTTGCCCTTTGAATCACAGAAAGTTTTGAAATCATCAACTTACTGCGGTTTCTAACTCTGATGTTTCAGTGAAGATAACGTTAACGGCACCCAAACTCCTAATAAACATTGGCAAATCACACACTCACATGGTAGGGCACAAACTGAGCAAACTTTTTTTGTTTGGAAGAAAATGGTTCACGTTATAAATTTCTACTAACCCTTCCAAGCACTTTTTAAAAACTTGATCTTAGTCAAAGGCCAAGAAGTAATTCCAAGCATTTTTTTTAAAGCTATGTAAAGCTATTAAACATTAACAAACATTCTAAACAGTAAAATATCTAGCTTAAAATGAATTTTGACACTTTTTTTTTTTAAGATTTGGAAAAAGCAGTCTGGCTAGTCAATTTCATAAGCGCAACACGAACAAAATTTATGGAAAAAATGGACAGAAAGAAGATTAACTTTATTTTGAATCTGTTACTGTTTCTTAATCACATCTTTCTATTTACAAAGCGGTCAATACGGTCACAGGAATGGATATCCTTGGATAAAATACACCTGACAAGCTTCAGAAATTAAATTAGGAAGCAAGAACCTGGGTGAAAAAAAAAACACAATTTTTTAAAATCATCTTTTGATTCACTCTAATTTTCTTATTGTTCTCACACAAAACTGTAAAATATTTCAGAAACGATTATGAGTTACAAGAACTGCCATTTTTTTAGGTTTGTTTTTGACGCGCCATCGTACAGCATATGGTCTCTAAGTCGCTGTGTCTTGTTTCCATTCACTTGAAGTACAGTTTCTTAGGCAGTGATTTGGAATACCTCAGTGACTCTGGTTCCTGTGGTGTGACAGTGTCACTTGCCCTATAGGCTAGTTCAGGTGACCATAGAACTGTCAGAAACAGCGTGTCACCCTCCCTTCACAGCAGAGGGCATGTGGGGGGAGGCCAATGTCCACTACCCGCCACAGTTCCAGAACAGTCCAGTGAGCCCTCCGGGACTGCCTGGGAGCTTCCCTTTTCTCACTCTGGTGGCACAAGACAGGTGAATCCTCAAGTCCCGAGAGGTCATTTAAAGGATGCTTAGGGGCTTCCATGTTGATTGTACCAATAGCCTCGTTCACTGCCCTGAATGACCAAACGGCAGTGACATGGTCAACGAAGTCGCCCACCTCACGCTGTCTACTTCCATACCCCGGGGAGGCACGGCCATGGACAGGGTCCAGCGCCCGGGGTAGGGGCAGTTTTTCTGCCATCACGGTGACACTCCTGCTTTGAGGGTGAGCTAGCTGCCAATCCCAGACACCTCACATTCAGGGCAGCAGACTCCCCAGCCGCAGCAGGAGCCCCTGCGCCCCTGTCCTTCCTGGGGACACCCCAGCTGCCCTGGCCGCGAGCACCTACGCCCGCCTACCCGGGCCGGGCAGTCCGGAACCCCCAAAAGCTAGGAGGGATAGTGAGTAGGCCTCCCTGCACAAGGGTCACCAGGGTCGCCGTTCCGCTGCTACTAACCCCAAAGTGATCACAGGTGAAGAGGAAATCAGCAAATCCTCCCAAAGCCTGGGAAAATCCGACTCACTTTTCCTGGATCGCGAGCCAGCCTTCCCCACTTCCGGCGGTGGATCGGTGTCCTCGCACGGATTGATGGGAGTTGTAGTTTGAGGGTCACAGTCTTTGCTAAACCCTAGGAAGGGCGGGACTTGGGGTGGAGATGTAGGGGAGTCTGGGTTTAGAGATGTTGGCCAGATGGCTTAGCATTGTGGCTTAGCTGAAGGAGGCGTGACTGTCCTTTCTCTGAGAACTAGATGTGCGGGCGATGTGAAAACTAAGGTTTGTGCAAACGATTTTCATTTTCCAGTTTTGCAGACGCCTCCCTTAACCTTTCAACCAATATTATCAGTGTTAAGCAATCCTGAGATATTGACTGGACTAAGTCTAAACAAGTTATTGACCTGTGGAAAAATGCATTCACCTCGTGCATCCGATAATACCTTGGATCGATACTTATCCCATGAATAGTCTTTTTTTTTTTTTTTTAAATATGTATGAAGTGCCCACGACAGCTGCTCGGGTGGTACGGTTTGAGTAGGATAAGCAATACCAGCTTCTGAGGATGGTGCCTGCAACACAGCTCCCACCGTGCAGCTCGTTACAGTTGAGGGTGCACGGTGGTTTTCCAACTCCCAGACCAATGATTTTCCTTTTACTCTCCTGCCTCTTGGGGAACAGTGACAGGAGTTGAAGACCATCCAACCTGAATTTTAGCTGGGTTCTTGGATGTTCTGCCTTCTCACCATGAGGTTGTAGATAGCTGTTGGTGCTCTGGGACAACCGCCCTTCCCTGCTCAGACCCTCACTCCCTTCTGTGAGTAGCTGGTTCCAGTCCTCGATGATGGCCTTACAAGTGATGATACAAGTGGTAATAAACAAAAACAAACAAACAAAAATATTTAGTTACACAATTGGCATAGCTGATATTTGTATTCACACAGGTACTAAGGTAATAAGACTAGTGTAGCCCTTATGTATTCATGATCGGGTTTTAAATGATGGTTAATTCAGTTATGCATCTGTAAGCATAGGAGATACATACTTTGAGATGCACTGCTGGGTAATCTCCTTAACGTGTGACTGACCACCACAGTGTGTGTTAACTTGCAAACCCGCTACTGGCTTGAGCTAATTGAGGCGTACAATCATACACAAGCTAGGTCGTTTACTGAATTGTATTATGGGCACATGACCATAGGTACATCTCCTCCAAACTCTTAGAGTTCTTTGGAAGTAAATTCTAGATACATTATTCCATTGAAAAAAATATTTAAGCATATTTAAGAGGCTTTTCTAAAGATCATAACTATCATATCAGTGGTAACATCATTGTTAGTATACTTAATTGGAAATCAATAATTCTGTAATTTTATTTTCAAAGGAATATTCAATGTCAAATTGCTTGCCTCGTAAGTTTTACTTTAGATGCTTCCAGCTGATTTTCTCAGTTCAAGACCTGAACAATGTCTCCACATTACATTTGGTGTTTTCTAAATCTATGGATTTTTCTCATTTTCTGGCAGTTCCTTTGTTGAGGAGTAATGATGCCCCCTGCTCTACAATTTCCTACGTTCTGAATGCCCAGGTTGCAATCTTGCACTGTGCATTGCACCTGTATTTCTTGCAAAACAGAAATTAAATCCACAGGATTATTTAGAGTTTGATTTTTGTTTGTTACAAGGCTGCAGAAGTGTTACAATTTACTTTCCATTTTATTACATTAACAGGCGTATACTGCCTCTTACAATATAATTGATAATTGGGTTCACATGTTTTCAATTTGATAAAGGTTATGACAAATATTAGAAATTTCTTCATCAACTTTCGAGTTTAATATTTTTATCAGTATCGATGAGCATTTTCTAGGTATGTGAAATGATAATATTCTATTTCAGTCATTCACTTTACAGGCAAAAAAAATTAAACATTTTTAATGATTCATTTTATTTGAAAGAGTTACAGAGAGAGAGAGAGAGAGAGAGAGAGGCAGAGATATCCTCCATCCACTGGTTCACTTCCCAGATGACCACAATAACCAAGGCTGGACCGGGATGAAGTTAGGAGACAGGTGTTTCATCTAGACCTCCCACATGGGTACAGGGCTCCAAACTCTTGGCCATCTTCAGCTGTTTTTGCAGGCCATTGTCAGGTAGCTGAATTGGAATTGGGGCAGCTGAGATACAAACTGGTATCCATATGGGATGCTGGCCTCTCAGATGATGGCTTGACCCACTATGCCACAGTGCTTCATTTAACAGTGGAAACCCCTTTCTGTGGGCTCCTGAGTTCCTTGACCAGACTTCTATAGTGTTTCATGACTTATTTTGTTTTCAGAGGATAAAATGGTTTAGACTTCTCTTGTAGATTCTCTGCCCTGGAGCTGGAGTCAGTATCTTCTTTTAGGGACATTGGTTTGTTTACATGAGGAGTGGTATTTAGATACCCGTGGTACCCACTGATAGTGGATTACTGAATACCTTTCTGTAGATCACCCTAGCCTAGAAACATTGAATGGATCCACATCACTCTGGTAGGGGCCTCCATGTCAGTGACAGCAATGGGTTCAATGGAGTTATTGTTACTGTTATGGTTTGGGTAAGATTCGAATGCGTTGTTTGAAGGGACATGTGCTCATGGCATGGTCCCGAGTGTGCTGGTATGGGGGGTAACTGGATTTTGAGAAGTGGAGCTTAGGGCAAGATGATTAGGTCGCAGGCCATTGCCCTTGAATGGGATTCATGCTGGTCTCTCTTTTTAAAG